GTGCAGAAAACACTCTTTCTTGGGCATAATACAAAAACATTATGCTTGCTTGCGTAATGGAATTTATTGTTGTGGGCTTTCAAGTCGTTTTGACTTTTGGCAAACCTAAGGCAAACCTATCACAGGGTTTTCTTGGCCAGTTTCTTCAGAGGAAATTTGCCATTTCCATCCTCTGAGGCTGAGAGAGTGTTAACTGGACCAAGGTCACCCAGCCAGTATTCAAAGCCTGGTCTCCAGAGTTGTAGCCCAACATTCAAGCCACTACGGCACACTGGCTTAATGTAACAGTTTACTTCTATTTTAAGGCTCACTTTTGCATGTTTTTAATTATATTCTGTTAAACTGTAAGCCACTTTGAGTCCCAATTTTTTGGGGAAAACAGGATATAATATCCTGCCTTGAGTCTCTATATTCACCACCTTGAGTTCCTATATTGAGAGAAAGTTGGGATATAAGTAAATACAGTTGGCTCTCCACATTTGTGGTTTTGACTTTTGCAGATTTGATTATTTGCGGTTTTGATTAATTGTTCTCTCAAGGAATCTCTAGTAGGCCCTCCAGCGCAACTCTGCCAGAAGTTGACCATAGAGTTATGCTGGTGAACCTAGAAGTTCCTAGAGAAAACACTGTAGGTCCTCCAACATGATTCTGTGATCAATTTCTGGCAGCTGTTGATCATAGAGTTGCACTGGAGAACTTGGAGATTCCTAGAGAGGTGTATTTTTCGGTAAAAAGAATAGAGTGGTTTTATTTGTGGTTTTCCACTTTCACAAGGATCCTTCACCCCAACCCCAACGAATGTCTAAGGATCATTGTAAAATAAAGAATTATGATGATGATGATGATGATGCAGCTTGACACCACTTTAACTATCACAGTTCCATTCTCCAGATTCCTGGGATTTGTAGTTTAGCAATGCACCAGCATTCTTAGGCAGAGAAGGTGAAAGACCTTGTAAAATTGCAAATCCCAGGATTCCCTAGGATGGAGTGACACTTAAAGTGGTGTCAAACTGCATTATTTCTACAGTGTAGCTGCACCCACCTGAAAGTGACCTAGGACCTTATCACACGGGGCCAAAAGCAGCAAGAATCCACTAAGAATCAGGCGCTATAGCGCTATACATTCCCGTGTGATTACACGACGTCACTCAGAATCCGCTAAGAATCAGGCGCTATAGCGCTATATTTTTCCGTGTGATTATACGACGTCGCTCAGAATCCAGCAAGAAAACGCTCGGAATGCAGCATCATTTGCATTCTTTTGAATGTCGGTTTCAGCGGGCATTGCAATAGCGCGAGCTGATCCATAGCGCTGTTATAGTGCTAGCGCCATATTTATACTAGCGCTATAGTACTGGAATGATGCTCATATCGCTTTCTTGCCACTTTTGAGAGCAGCGTGGGATAAGGTCCTTAGGGCTTTTGCAGACTGCCAGAAATAGTGCACATTAAATTGAGGCATTGCCCTGGCTCAGTGCTAGGGAATCATGGGAACTGTAATTTATTGTGGCACCAGAGCTCTCTGACAGAGAAGGCTCAATGTGTCAGAAAAAAATACAATTCCCATGACTCCCTAGCACTGAGCCAGGGCAGTGCCTCAATTTAATGTGCACTATTTTTGGCAGTCTGCAAAGGCCCTTAGATCCAAAACACACTTCAGAAATAATCCAGTTTGAGACTGCTTTAACTGCCCTGGGTCAGTGCTAGGGAATCCTGGGAACTGTAATTTGTTATGGCAGCAGAGAAGGTTAAAAGTCTAACAGAGAAGGTTAAAAGTCTCATAACAGTACAGTTCCCAGAATTTTCTAGCATTGAGCCAGGACAGTTAAAGTAGTCTCAAACTGGATTATTTCTGCAGTGTGTCTGGGACCTCAGTTCTCCTCAAGTCTCCTTTAATGCCTTTAAAATATTTTCCCTGGGCAGACTACCTCAGAGGAAAACAGATATAGGAAAGAAAATGCTTCCTGCATATATTAAGCCATTTTTTCCTTCCAGCAGTAAAAGTTTGAGCAACGAGCTTGCTGCAAATTTTGTATGAGTGGTGCATGACTTAAATCACCATGATTTGCTTTAAAAATCTCATTTTACTCACCACACAGCTTAGGTTTTATTCTGAGGGTAAGGGACAGAAGCATTTTTGTGTGTTTTGGACACAAAAGCTTCTCTGAGCATGGGCAGACTGATTTGCTTTCTCAGTTGATCCACAACACACCTGAGATTTCATGTTTGAGATGATGATGAGGGATTCGTTTCTTATGCATTTTGACTGTAATGCAGCAAACAAGCAAACAAAAATACACAGGGATACTCTGTGACACCCACCTTGTTTGTGTTGTTTCTTTGCTTTATATGTGCAGCTGCTCCTGTAACTCAGAGCTGCCCAGATAGAAATCACAGCTGAGTATCTTCAGATTGAAAGAACTGACAAACAGATCTGCTGGGGAATCAACCATTCTGTATAATATTTCTAAAATTGCAAAACAAAGGAGAAAGGAAAGCTAGGACTTTATCACACAGGCAAAAGAAATGGGATATTAGCGCTATGCTCCTGCAATATCCTGTAAATATTGCACAATAATGTGATGCTTTTCACATGACGTTGTCATTATTTCGCGATTATTCCATCAATAAAGTGGCAAAATCATGCCACTTTTTATTCACGGGATTTTCCTGTACGCATTGTGATGTTGCCACTTTATTTATGGGATAATCATGCAATAATGACATCGCAAGATGTCGTGTGAAAAGCATTGTGTTATTGTGCAATATTTATGGGATATTGATAGGAGCATAGCACTAATATCTCGTTTCTTTGGTCTGTGTGATAAAGTCCTAGTTTTTCTTTGATAGCATTCTTAGCTTCAGAAATTAGGGTAGGGTGTAGCAAACTAAACAAAACATTGTTGCATGCCTTGAAGTCATTTCCGACTTATGGCAATCCTAAGGTGAACCTGTCATGGGGTTTTCTTGGCAGGTATCTTCAGAGGGGTTTGCCATTGCCATCCTCTGAAGCTGAGAGTCTGTGACTTGCCCAAGGTCATCAAGTGAGTTTACATGGCTGAGCTGGGATTTGAACCCTGGCCTCCAGAATCATAGTCCAATGCTCAGACCACTAAACCACCCCAGCAAATGGAACTGCAATGCTTTAATTTAGCATTTAACTTTCAACTGTTGATACAAGTTTGCTATAAACTGGTTCTTCAGGATGATGGGTCTTCATGCAGTGTGACATTGTTTAAACTTATCCCCTTTCCTACGTCGGATCTGATAGTGCTGATGAAATTGAATCTTCAGTACTTTTAAAAATGAATCCCACACCACCAAAAAGGGTGGGGGAAATGTTCCCATATCTATCAACCCCTGAAACCATCTGTGGAAATACACCAAGTTGACAAAATCTAATGAAACAACATCTTTCACCCAGTTAGACTTAAAAATGCTACAAGGTCCCTTTACATACGGATATTCCAGACTAACACTGCTGTCTCTGAATTCAACCCTTGAAACTGACAGCTTCCTTTCCTCCTCCTTTAGGATATTTCCCATTTGTTAGCAAGCGTCTTTAAGAACATGTATACCTCAGAGGTGATAGGGGTGGAGACGGTAGAAAATATGATCAAGTCCCGCGGAGGAGACAACATTCATCATGAGGAGTTTGTGAAAGAGTTGCAAAAGGTAAACTATTAATTCAGTACTGTAAAAGAAGATAGAAATGAATTAATGAAGTGCCATGGTTTAAACCAGGGACCGGCAACCTATGGCCCGGGGGCCAGTTAAGGCCCCGGTCCCCGGACTTACCGGCCCAGGCTGAAGATTGCTGCCGCGGCCGCGCATTTTTGCCGCTCTGCCGCCGCATTCGCCACGCTCGTCATTTTGGAAATCAAAATGGCAGTCGCAACGCATTTGCGCATGTGCAGTAGTCTTGTGCATGCGCAAATGTGTCGCGGCCGCAATTTGGACTTCCAAAATGGCAGCAGCAACATGCGCCATGGCGGCTGTGCCCCCGTGTGCTACGCGCTGGCTGCTGTAGCGGCCGCGGCAGCCACGTGCGCGGGGGGTGTACGGCGGTGGAGGGCGTGTGCACGCGCATGAGTGCGCGCATCGCCATTCCCCCCCCCCCTCGGCCCAGCCGAGACCTGGGCTACAGGAGACCAGCCCAGGTCTCAGAAAGGTTGCCTGCCCCTGGTTTAAACTAACAGTCTAATTTGTTATCGTGTGAGTTGAGAATGGAATTAACTTGTGCATTTTGTTGTTGTTAACTGCCATCGAATCAATCTCAACTCACGGTGGCCCTATGGATGAAAAATCTCCAAGACCTTCTGTCCTCCACTGCTCTGCTTAAATCCTGCAACCCCTTAATATCCAAAGTAACCTCCTTAATAGAGTCCATCCATCTGGCATGTGCCCTTCCTCTCTTCCTACTTCACCTTTCTCAGCATTATTGTTTTTTTCCAATGAGTCCTGCCTTCTCATGATGTGTCCAAAGTACAACAACCTCAGTTTGGCCATTTTGGCTTCCAGGGATATCACTGGCTTGATCTGCTCTAGGACCCACTTGTTTGTCCTTTTGGCTGTCCATGGGATCTTCAGCACTCTTCTCCAGCCCCACATTATCTCAAATGCATTGATTTTCTTCCAGTTTCTTTACTGTCCAACTTTCACATCCATACATGGTAATACTGGGAGCCAAATATATTGGAGGAGGAGGAGGAATTCTTATTTATTTATAATATATCATCAGTGTACAAACGGGATTATACTTGAAACTGTGTAGTGTAGTGGTCAGATGATCAGACTAGGATTTAGGGAATCTGAATTCAAATCCCCATTCAACCATAATGGTAATAGAAATGTAATAAATAAAAGATTAAGAAGATCACCCATGATCATATTGAAAAATGGGTTTAATGAGTAGAAGAAGATGGCACCGCCTTTTATATGTTATTTTTTTTGTCTAGGGTGCGGATTTTTATCTAGAATGATGGATTATTAGGGTTGTTTAAGAAAGAATGCCTGAGTCAACTAACGGGTTACAGGGGCCATGGGCCAGAGTGTAATAAGAAACAAGGGCCAAAATAAATTTTCTAGATTACATTTATCAATTTAATTCTGATGAAAAGCTTTAAGAGAAGAAATTTTCTTGATTCCTTTCACTATAAACTGCCCATAATTTTTTGGTTTTTGTGGTGTGCCTTCAAGTAGTTTCCAACTTGTGACAACCCTAAGGTGAACCTAGTACTGGGCAATACTTGTTCAGAAGGGGCTTGCCTTTGCCTTCCTCTGAGGCTGAGAGTGTGTGACTTGCCCAAGGTCACCCAGAGGATTTACTTGGCTGAGTAGGTATTTGAACCCTGGTCTCCAGAGTAGTAGTCCACTACACCACACTGTCTCTTGCTCATAATTTATTAAATCTTACACATCTTCATTATCAACCCCTGATCATTTTTCTAAAGGGTTGGCTTCAATACAACTTGGTAAGCATGCACTTGTGGAAATATTTCAAAACTTGAAGAAGAATGTTAAAACATGTTTATGTGCCTCTATCAAGATTGTTTACAGCTGAGAATATGTTTAAAAAATAAAATGGCATTGAATGATGTGCAGCTGTCCTAGGGACCTCTTGGATGTCTAGATCCATAAATCAAATAGGTAAATAATTAATTTCTCAATTGCCGTATCAGGTCAGGAATGAATATAATGACCGATTAGCAGAAGCAGATATGTTAGAAAGACACATCATCCAAGCAAGGGCACGAGCCACAGCAGAAGAAGAAAGAATCTTGAATCAGTATAAAGCACAAGTTCCAGAAGATTACCGTCATGTTGCATTGCCGCCGGGTAAGCAAGAGTGAAAAGTTGCCATTTCCCATTTTATGCTAGCAGAAATCAGACTAAAGGGAAATTTAACCATTGATTCGCGGGAAAAGTAATCATTGAATCCAGTATGCATTTGGACTGGAGACCAGAGATTTATAGTAGACAGACGTTTATTTATTTTTTCTAAATTAAACAATTACTTGTTTGGATGAAGGACTGCAAGATGTAAAGCTGGAATGAAGACTAAACTAGATATGGCACTAAACCAGGGGTAGGCAACCTTTCCCCTTTAAGGGCCGAGGGACTTCAGCTCCCAGAATCCCAGGAGCTATTGGCCAACATGGGACTATTGGCCAACATAGCTGAGGCTTCTGGGAGCTGAAGTCCCTCAGCCCTTAAAGGGGAAAGGTTGCCTACCCCTGCACTAAACATTCAAATACATTTAATGTGTATTGTATGAATTTTTTTTTAATAATAATAGGATGGATAGGTGGATCTGGATTGGGATCAAGATGGACAGGGAAAGATTTGTAGTCCTCTCCAAAACATGTTGTGGTGCTATTCCTCCCTCAACCCAGTGGTTGTTTCTTCTGAGGGGGGAAGTTGATCCCCAGTTGAATCTCCCTTTAAAACCATTTTCTCTTCTGGCATATGCAGGAACTACAAGAAACACTTGTCTTTGGGTGCATCTACACTGTAGAAATAACGTTGTTTGACAGCATTTTTGAATGCTATAGCTCCATCCTATGTAATCCTGGGATGTGTAGTTTTACAAGGTCTTTAGCTTTCTTTGCCAAAGAGTGCTGGTGCCTCAAAACTACAAATCCTAGGATTTTGTAAGAACCATGGCAGTTAAAGTGGAGTCAAGCTGCATTAGTTGTACAGCATGGATACACCCTTTATCTTGAAACACTTACCATCTCTCTTTGAATGTGAATGTTTTAGTGAAGTCTACCTTCAGATGGTGCGTGGATGATGAACTTCTGAAAAAACATAATTTAATCAGCCCTATAGATTACATCACGGACCCAGCACTCATTACCCGAGCACCTAAAGGTAACTTTTACACAAGGATTTACATGGCTTTTTAGTAATGTAATTGAAGAATCAAGTAGTTAAATGTAAAGTATTTTGTGAAATTATCATTTGCACCCATCACTTTCCTCCATAACGTACAAGATGATTTACACTGAATTATATCATTGACAATGGCTTTGGGAAATAATCACAAAGAGCCACACTCCAAGCCTGTATAAATTTTACAATTTTTGTATCACCCCTTCTCCAAAGTGCTGGAAATAATAGTTTGGCTGAGGATGTTAAGAATTCTTTGAAATGTATATATGTGTGTATTATTTGCTTATGCATTGTATTTCATTAATATAATGACATACAAGGGCCCCTAGGGATCATTTTGGGACATGTTGAGGGATTAAAAAATTCACTAAATTTTTTTTTTACCCCAAGGGGGCTCCAAACACCCTATAGAGATCAGTAGTGGACATTTTGGAGCAAAAAAAAAAAAAATGGGAAGAGTCTTATTGTTGCTAACTGCTGTCAAGTCGACTTCAACTTATGGCAACATTATGAATGAGAATTGTAGGAGCCCTGGTGACACAGTGGTTAAATGCCTGTACTGCAATCACTCACTCACAAACCACAAGGTTGTGAGTTCAATCCCAGCCAGGGGCTCAGGGTCAACTCAGCCTGGCATCCTTCAAAGGACGCTAAAGTGAGTGCTCAGCTTGTTGGAGGCAATTAGCTTACACATTGTAAACTGCTTAGGGAGGGTCACTGAAGGGATAAAGTGGTATAGAAATGTATTTGTTATTGCTATAATGAGAGGCCTCCTAGTCACTGTGTTATCAAAGCCTTGTTCCCATGGGCTGCATTTTTACCACCCCTGCTGTAGAGAAATGAATATCCTAAGCTTGACTACAGTTTTATCTGTAGGGAAAGTTGGAGAATTCCCTCAAGTGACTAAAATTGGTACTGTGGGCTATGTGCAGATTTCAATTAATGAAAATAATTAATTGTATTAATTAGGTTATAATATATAGTTAGAATTGACTTAATTAACTAGAAGGGCTTTTGCTAGTGCATCTCATTGAGGCTGAGAGAGAGTGACTTACCTAAGGTCGCCCAGTAGGTTTCCATGGCTGAGCAGGGATTCAGACCCTGGTCTCCAGAGCCATAGTCTAGTGCTCAAACCACTACACTACATTGGGTTTTGTTTAATTTAAAAAACAACAACACCTTTATACTATACATTGTTTTTACTGTATTTTGTTTTAATCTATACTATAAGCCACCTTGGGTGCCATATCAGAAGATAAGTGGAATATAAATAAAATTAAATTAAACCAATCAATCACCTCCAAATGTCATCTATCTCAGTGAAATGTGCAGATAGTTTTTGTGAAATGCACAATTAGCCACCTCTTGTTTTCAATGCTTTATGCATTTTAAAATTCTTTTAATTGCAGAAGTATCTGAACCTGGCTATTTGAAAGAAATCCTGAGTTTTAAACACCATATTTCTGACAATTCAAATTCTTCCAAACGGAGAGAAAGTTCACACATTAAGAAACTACAAGAGAATCTGCCAGATGTATCTGTATCCAGCTTAACCATGGAGTCTTCAACTAGTGATGTTCCACATCAAATTAAAAAATCATTCTTTAAGGTAACTGTCTGTATGTTGTTTGTCTGAGAAGTGAAAATGTCTAAACTGAGGCTATTGTACTTTGGCTATATCATGAGACAATGCAACTCTCTGGGAAGGATGATAAACTAGAAAACAGTAGAAAAAGAGGGAAAGGATACTTCAGGTGCATTGATTCTATCAAGGAAGCTACAGTTGATGACTAGGGCCTTGGAGGGTAGGGTTTCCCTAATTTGAAGCAAATAACAACAAATCTGTGTGTCATTGCTTTTAAATGTTTTTTTTAAACTTCACCTTATCTCACTGGGTGTGTCTGCCAACTTCACAGTTTGCTGTCATGTTGTAGCCAGGATTTCTCATGGCCTGCAAGGATTGTTTTACCCTTGTAAGAGCCATATTTGCTTCTTCTCTTTTTTCTGCTTCTAATTTCTGGGGCTATGTTTGAATACCATGGGGCTTCAAGGAGCTGGTAGCATCCTTTTTGGTGCCTTAACTATGGAGGAAGCTGTCAGATTGTTACTGTGACTCCTTTCTTATTAGCCTCAACAGATTCTCACTTACTTTAGAAAAAGAAAGTATGTAGCTAGTGGGTCTGGAGTCTAGAATTCTGTATCAATAAATCTAAACTTTGTGACCACAAGGTACATTTTTCAGTGGTCAGAATAAACTGGGGGGTGAGGTCATATTCAGCATAATTCTGCTGGTTATATTAAAGAAGTAATATATACAGTTTTGTACTTGAATCAAGGGTGTTGTATGTTTTAAAACAAAAACTTATCTGAAGCTTTAGTTTGCAAGTAATTTTTTTGGAAAATGGAATGTACAGTATAAAATGTGTAATAAAATATAGATAACATATATACATAGAATGTTGGGCAACAGTAGTGTTCTACAAACAGAAGTGGTGAGTTAGGAAGAGGAGGCTACGGGAAGACAATTAGTGCAAACATTCAGACACGAGAATCCCACCCAATCCATGATAATTTTGCAACTGGAAAGCCTACTATTACGTATGACTCAGACTACTGAGATCCATGGGTCTTACTTGCAAGCAACTGTATCTGGGATTACAGACTTTACCAGAATCTGCCAGTCCATTACTCTTCCTCTTGGGATTCATGTGTGTTAGAAGCTTATTTTGTTTCTAAAGCAAAAGTAGAGATTCCCATCATCCTGACAAAGTTTGCCACATTTTCTCCTGCAAAACAAATGCCAAATATGTTGTGATTTCTGGACTGAGAAGATGAACATCAGTATGTTGGGCATAATAATTATAAATGAGTCTTTTGTACAGCAGCTACTGAAAATGTTTTTCTCCTTTTACCATATCTACTGACAGAAGAAATCTAGCCCCTCCCGAAAGCCAGTTTGGATGAACAACATGTCCAGAGCTGAAAGGCAAAAAGACCGTGCCTACCTCCAGAGACTTGAGGAACGCCATAACTTCCTGAAAAACCCACGTTTTTTCCCACCTAACTCCGTTCGTGGAGGCAGGTCCTTGATTTTGCCTCAAAAGAGGGTGCAGCGCATGGTAGCAGGAAGAAAAAAGACTCTGGTTGAAAGGTAGCTGAACAGTTCTTTGCAAAATAAAATGAAGTAAGAATTTGTAGTCATAATTGTATAGAGCTCCTTTAAGGTTTTGAAGGTATTCAAAAATCACATACTATTTGAATTACGTCGGCCTATATATTGCAGAAGGGGAAGAGGGAACTAGACATGGAAGAAACAAGACCACATTCAGTGGCCTAGTGTATAAAGGCAATGTTATATGTTACAGTGGATCACCAAACATCAGTGTCCATGCTCACCAGGTTGAGATTATGAATGCAGGTTACCAAAGTCTGTATTGTTTGAAGCCTCCAAATTCCATGAATGCCTTTTTGGCTCTAAAAATGCTCATCAGTTCTGATATTTTGTATTTTAAGAGGTTCTGCAAGTAGAGCTCAGTTAACAATGCACATCCATCTGAGAGCATCTTAGTAGACTCATTCCTTGCACATGATACCATTTGGTATATTCATTGACTGTTACCTGTGTCGTGGAGACCCAAACATCCATGTGCTTTTAAAAATGTAATTCTGTCATTTCATTTCAGCAATTCCCAGTCTGTCCCTATCTTCCTAGCAAACCCACCAGCTGTTGTGTTTTCTTACTATGAAGTTGGCCAGGTTTATGAGGTGAGAGCTTTTTGCTGCACAAGCAAGGATTACTGGCTTTGACATTTCCCATTATTTACTTTGCCTCACATATGTTTCAGTCTTAGTAATAGCTTCTGTTCACAGAGATCTCTCAAAGAGTTTTAAATATGTTAATATTTCTTTACTAGATAATGTTCAGTTTCCCCAGCTTCAAGAATTACTTCAAAAACAGATTGTTTCAAATGATATTACTCTCATTTTTAACAGCCAAGGCTGATTGGGATATATTAGTTTGTATTGTTTCTTTTAAAACCTTCTCTTTTTATAGATGACTGTAGAGTTACAAAATATGACTTCAACTTCTCAGTGTGTCAGAATAATTCCTCCAGCTACATCGGCCTTTTCTATTGGGCTGGGTGAGTTCTTGCCTGATTTAGTGATGTCAAATTTCTTGTAAATTCCCTCAGAAAGTAGAATTTTTGAAATATCTGCAGATGGGTGCATATTTGTGTCATACCAACCTGAAGGAGCAGAAGAATAGTGTGGCAAATGTAAGGAGCCAACTTTAGAGGGCCACATTGATCATTTACTTTTTCAAAACATTAATTTGTCCTTGAGGCAAACACAGTATTCACCATGTTTGTGCCAGTTGACAAAACACATTGAAATTAGTGAATAATAATAATAATAATAATAATAATAATAATAGCAGCTTGGGTCCAGGCTATCTTAAGGACCGCCTCCTCCTGTATAATCCTCCCCACACCCTCCGGTCCTCTGGGAGAAATTTGTTACAGCCTCAAAAAACGAGGCTGGTGACCACCTCCTAGAGGGCCTTTTCTGTTGTTGCCCCCAAATTATGGAATGGCCTTTCCCGGAATAACCCCCGGCCTAGGCCCCCAAAATACTTTTTTGGAGAGGTTCTCCTCCTCTTGATTAGGCCATTGAGCGCCGATAAGTTTCTCTGATGCCAGTATTTTTCCTTTTGTTATATTATTGTTTAATGTTTTATAGTGAGATATGTTTTTTCTCATATATGTTTTAACTTATTCTGATTTAATAATTTTTTAAGGGGGGAGGGGGGAAATAGTTTTTAATTGTTATATGATGATTTTATTGTAAGCCGCCCCAATTGTGCTCAGAGGGGCGGGATATTAAATAAAAATTATTATTATTATTATTATTATTATTATTATTATTATTATTATTATTATTATTATTATGAAATTAGTGAAGTATATTTCTTAGTAAATGTGTATACAGTTATGTTAGATGTATGAAAAATCTGGCATCCTCCTAGAACATTTATCAAAGCAAAGGTTTTTCACTGTACTGAGAGGCAGAGCTGGATCAATTTATGAAGACTACTTTGAGGTAGAAAAGGAATAGGCACTAAGAACCACATTGCAAACATATGATGGAGCGAATTAGCAAGTGCTTCATAGACTACAGCAAAACCTTTGACTGCATGGATCATGCTGTGGAATACTCTTAAAAACATGGGATTGCCACTACATTTGATAGTCCTGATGAGGAATCTGCACTCCAGATAAGAAGCTACAGTTAGAATAGAAATGGAGAAACAGAATGGTTCCCAGTTGACAAGGGGGTCAAACAAGGCTGTATTTTATCACCCTGCCTGTTCAATTTGTATGCAGAAAACATCAAATGAAGAGCAGGTCTGGATTCAGAAGGAGGAGGAGTGAAAATAGGAAAAAGAAACATCAACAGTCTAAGATATGCAGATGACACCATACTACTAGCAGAAGATATAACAGACTTGGAACAATTATTAAGGAAGCTCAAGGTAGAAAGTGCAAAGGCAAGCTGAACATAAAGAAAACACAAATAATGATCATGGAGGATCTATATAAATACAACCTAGATAATGAGGAAATCAAAATAGTTTAAAGATTTCCCGTACCTTGGATGAAATATTGACCAGAAGAGAGGCTGCAGTCAAGAAATCAGAAATGGGAAGGGCAGCTGTGAAAGAACTAGATAAGATCCTAAAGTGTAAAGATATGCAACTGAGCACTAAAGTTAGAATCATTCAAGCCAGTATATTCTCCACCACCATGTACAGATGCAAGAGCTGGACAGTGAAGAAAGTCAATAGAAAATCAACTTATTTGAGATGTGCTGGAGAAGAGTGCTGAGGATACCATGGATGGTCAAATAGGCAATTAGGTCCTAGAACAAATCAAGCCTGAACTCTCCCTGGAAGCCAGATGACTAAATAGAGGTTGTCATACTTTAGTCACATCATGAGAAGGCATGACTCATTAGAAAAGACAATGATGCTGGGGAAGGTAGAGAGCAGTAGAAAGAGAGGAAGACCACATGCCAGATTAATAGATTCAATCAGGATGACAACAGGCCTGAATCTACAGGACTTGAGCAGAGCAGTATAGGACAGCGTGTC